CCTTCTCACATTGCTTTCCCTCCTCTTACTACCCCTACTCCTACTCCCCCTCCTCCTCCCACTCCTCTTCCTCCTTCTACCCTTCCTCCCCTTCCTGCTCTCTCTCTCCCTCCTATCGTTCTCATCATCTACCCTCTCTTCTTCTTCCTCCTCCTTCTCTACTCCCTCTGTCCCTCTGCCTCTGCCACCAACTCTACTACCGCCGATCGCTTCTCCACTAAACGAGCGTTCGCCAACTGCAAGCGAAGGAAGCAGCCCCGGCGGCGGCGCCCCCACGACCGCGTGGGCGCCCGAGACCTTTGCGCGCGCGGGCCGCCGTCGCCGCCGCCGCCGCCGTCGCCGCGTGGGTCTGGCGCACGCCGAGGTCACGATCGGCGGTCACGGTCGGCCGGCGGAACCGTTGTTGGGTCGGCTCCGGAAGACACGACGCAGCGCAGCGCAGTGCCGCGAGGGGGGAGGACGACGACGACGACGCGAGCGCTTGGCGCTGCGACGCCGCTGTAACCTGCGCAGCCGGCGAACACTCGTCGATGGAGGAGCACGGACCACGGAGGTCAGCTCATGAGAGATGTTGGTGGAGGCGTGTGACTCTTCTCATACGAATCGAATTCAATTTCTAGGTCGTCAATTTTTTCAGCAGCTCTCAAAAAGTAATTGGATATCTAATTAATATAATGAAAAATTGATATTTAATGGCAAATCTGAATGTAATTCTCCACTTTAAATTTCTTTTATTGTGAATAAGTTAACAATATTGATTCATTAAGTCCTTTTTAAATGAATAATTAATAATGTTTAACAAGTGTTTCTTCGTTATTTATAATGCATAAAGGATATTTGGTAATATTAACATACAGTACAAAATGTAGCGATTTTAAATATTAATAATAAATTTAAAATCCTACTCTATCAGCGCAATTACCGAATACAAAAGCTCTTGTTTATTATATACCTAGCATCACCTGAACAGGCGCACGTCCACCCACACCCCCCCACACACACAGCCACACACACATACAGCCACAAACACACACACACAGCCACACACACACACCACCACAGCCACCACACACACACAGCCACACACACACACACAGCCCACACACACACAAACCACACACACACAGCCACACACACACAGCCACACACACACTCGGCCACAAAACACACACACAGCCACAACACACACGCCACACCACACCACACACACACAGGCTACACAACACAGGCCACACACACACAGGCCACACACACACAGCCACACACACACAGCCACACACACACACAGCCACCACACACTGCCACACACAGCTACACACACACAGCCACACCACACACAGCCTCCACACACACAGCCACACACACACCACAAGGCCACACACACACAGCCACACACACACACAGCCACAACACACAACAGCCACACACACACACACACAGCCCACACACACACACACACAGCCACACACACACAACTCCACACACACACAACAGCCTCACACACACACAAGCCTCACACACACAGCCTTCACCCACACACAGCCCACACACACACATAGCCAGGACACACACATAGCCAGACCACCACACAGAGCCAGACACACACAACAGCCACACACACACACAGCCACACACACACACCACCACGCACACACACCACAGCCACACGCACACACACACACCCACACGCACACACACCAACAGCACACGCACACACACACAGCACGCACACACACACAGGCCACGCACACACACACAGGCCACACACACACACAGCCACACACACACCACACAGCCACACACAACACACACACACAGCCACACACCACACACACACAGCCCACACACAACACACACACACACAGCCACACAAAACTTTTGACAATGTTCCTAACGCTTCTGAAAATATTTGGTCGTCACCTCAAACACTTCCGAGAAACCGACCAACTATCCAAGAGTATGAGCCTCCTTTCTTTCTGAACTGTCGTATAAGAGACAAATGAACAATTCAAAACAAAAGTGAAAACTCGCAGATTAGTGTGCCTCATTTTAATGAATTTCCTGGCTGCTGGACCTTTGCAGGACTGAATCGCTCAGGTGAGGCATGCGTGTAAAACAAAATTGAATTTGTTCTAGCAGTAAACAAAGAACAGAAAATTTTCAAGAATTATTTTTAATCTCATGTGTCGGTTGTCTATTCAGCTAGTGTTAGGTTCGGTTGAGAAGGGACGGTGAGATTAGACAGCTTAGGGAAGTGCGATAAAATAATGGCAATAGAAACTAGATTGGCAGTATTGTAATGGAGACTCGACGAGAGAGATTGCGAAGGTACAAACAAATCTGGAGAAACTTTTGAAACGCATTGAAGAAAAGAAATGTAGAGTTGACGGTATCGAACTGGGGAAACAAAGTCAAAATAACTCCACGTTGAAAAGAAAGGAAAAAAAATTGTTACTCGTGCGGGCGAGAAAGTCAGCGAAGGACATTGGCATAACAGAAGACGGCGAAGAGGTCCAGCAATGAAGGCGAAAGTTGCGGCGATTCAGAAGCAACGGCATGAAAGGTAATGGTTGCACCACACGTGCAAGTAGAATTGCGGAGTTGGTGCTATCGCCTTGAAAAGGGAAACCACGGTGAGAATAAACTCTGGCGAAAAGGCAAAAAAAAAGGTAAATAAATAAAAAAATAAAAAAATAAAAATAAAATAAAATAAAAAAATAAAAAAAAGGTGTTCCTCGAACTGGCGAGGAAATTGGCAGTGGATGACGAAGGCGTAGTAGAGAACGTAGAAGTCGTCAACGAACGACGGCGAAAGTTACGACCACGGCGGTACCGTAGCAAAAGCCCAATGGCAACGGCAGCAGAGGTGATAGATGTATTAGAAGTGGTGTGGAATTGTGGGATTAGCGCTTTCGAACCGCAATGTGAAAACAAGATGAGAATATAGATTGTGATGAAAGAAAAAGAAAAGAAAAGGCGATGCCAAGGTGAGAGAAAATTGGTAGACCGTGTCGCAGACATGCCAGAGGACGTTGAAGACGTCACGCAGCGACGGCGAAAGTTACAACGGTTCAGTAGCAAACGACGTTGGCAAGGTAATGGCACGAGGTGTAATAGTTGCACTAAAGGCAGTAGTGACAGCCGGTGAGTTGTAGCGTATTCAGTTGGAACGAAAACAAGTGGAGGCGGAGGCGGCTCCAGGGAAGCGGAGAAAGACGCGAAACGGCAAAAAGGCTGCGGAGAAGTCGTCGGCAGCCCGGGTCACGAACCCTCCGTGACGGAAAGGTCAACGCATGCGCAGAAGAGACAAAGACTCTCCGCAAGCACACCGCGCAGCTCACCTTTCCTGCATACGTCACCGGCTGTCGCAGGCCCCTTCGCGGTGACTGCGCTTGCCGCCGCTGCCTCTGCCCCCAGCTCCTCCTCCTCCTCCTCCGCCAATGCCTCCGCCGCCGCCCCCGC